GTAAGTTAAGTTAAGTTATGTGAAGTGAAGTTAAGTTAAGTTAACTGACGTTGACTTAAGTGAAGTGAGTTAAGTGAAGTTAAGTTAAGTTGAGTTAAGACAGCCTCGATGTATAAGTCTCGATGTATAAGTCTCGATGTATAACTGATCTATGTAAGTTATCCCATGTATTTCTCGAGGGCTCCGCACGGAAAAACCCTCCGCAAAGCTTTCGGGAAAAAAAACCTTGTCCGAAGTAGCTTTGCTTCAGGAAATCTGTTCGGAGTGAGTCGTCTGAACAGTCGACAAGATCTCAACAGAAGCCTGCACGATAAAGAAGTGAGGTCTAATGTTCTACAGCAGATTGAATTGATCACCACATCAAGACTGATTTGCTACCTAGAGAGACCTCAGCTAGCCTGCATAAGGTCCAGGGAGGTCAGCGGGTGTGCAAAGAAGCGCAGAATGTCCGAAGCCCAGAGGAAGCTGGCACAGTTTTCACAAGGGCCGCTGTGTTTCAGTGCAGAACCTCAACAACACCAGTCAGCTGTGGCCAATGCACGAACAGAACATACCAAACTTCCTGTTCGCTGTGGAGCGCCGATTAAAACTGAGAGCTGTTCAGGCTGTGAGGGTTTGGGACGAGGTCCGGTAGGGATGTTCAGTGTCATGAATTGCCTGGCATGTGCCAGCATGTGCCGCAGGTCCGAATGGCTCTGCAGATTGCCGTCAGGACTCCGCAGACTCTCCACGCGAGGCTACGAAGTATGTGCAAGATGCATCAGGAATGGTTGTCCTGATGCCATGCGCCTTTGCATCCTGGAGGCTGGCGGGAAGTCACGAGTAAGCTTCTCATGTCTGCTGTCTCTGCTCGGGAGTGCAGAAAGCAGCTCGCATCTTTCAACACATTCGAAGAGGCGCAAGCTGCTGGCATCTCGCAGCTGTCCTTGCTCGCGGAGGCCTTGCTGCGCACGTGACCGTCACGTGCCTTACGTGCCCATTGAGGAGGTTGCACGCCTGATGCCAGGCAGAGCGACTTGTCCAAGAGGCTTCGTGAGCGTCGGAGGCGACTGCAAGTCTCTCGAGTCGAGCGTCGACTTCTACCTCGCAACAGATCGTGACACCTCGCAAGAGCTTCGTACCTCGCAACAGATCGTGACACCTCGCAAGAGCTTCGGGCGCACTTCCGGGCGACACAGCTTCAACAGGAAGGATTCGCGACCAAGTTCGACAGTCTGGAGACGGGTGCGACCGGGTGATACAGGGTGGCAACATGTGGCGACTCTACCATGAGCTGATCTCGACTGCGGCGCCAGGCCCCGACAATGGCTGCAGATGTTTCGAAGTCTTGCTTTCGCAGCCAAACCTGGCATGCCGTAGTGGGATGACGGAATTCAAAACCGCCGTCCTCCTTGTAAGTTTGAAGCGCTGGCTTCTGTAAGCTCTCAGCATTTTTCCACGGCAATAAGATGTCTCGCAATGCGAGTGCAAAACAGTGAAGGGATGGAGCTGTGTGCAACCCGCCGATTTCCTGTCAACCCTGCCGCCCCAGCTGTTGCTCCAGGCACATAGACCCCTTGACTCAGTTCGCTAGCGTACCTGTCCAAAGCCGTGAGCGTCGAGGCTTGAAACTGGCGTGTGATCACGTGCTAAGTCAGTAGTTCTTTGGAGCATCTTGGGGCCATGAGTCTCCCAGGCGTGATGCTTCGCTCTTTTCGTTGGGATATTTTGGGATGATAGTATATGATAGTCGCAGATGATCAGGTGCAGAGCCGCGACATGAGCGGCCACCCTTACCAGCTTGGCTTATTGTGTTTTTCAGCAACATGTTCTTCGGGTGCGCAGGCTCCACGCGTAAATGAGTATGTGACCGCGAAACTTCTTGCCCTGCGCCCCTAACCATCGCCATCTCATCTTGACTTCGCTGCAGGCTTCTCCATCGTCTTGCCTACCTTGTGGCCGTACCTACGACAGATGAATGCCTCGACGGAGTTTCTGGCTGCAGTCGTTGCATCCTACAGCGTCGGTGAGGGCTTGGGAGGACTTTGCCCGATCGTGCAGCGTGCAGCATTCTTCCAAATCAAACTGCCCACGCGCAGTGCCGTTGGCAACATCCGAGATGCTCACACAGCAGCACGATGCTTGTAAACGGGACTCCAATTCACTACTCGCATCGTGCGCGCTCTCATTCTGCAGGATGGACCGGTGGCTGGCTCTACCATCGGTATCCCGAGCATCCAAAGGCCCTCCTGTTGGGCGGGATGGCAATAGGCCTGGTGGCTGCTGCTTCCTACGCGGCGTGACCAAAAACATAGTTGCTTCATGTTGCTTTCTCTCGTTTTTGACAGATTCCCAGCATTCTTGTAAGGTCGCGGCACCCATCTTTGGAAGTGTCGCTGCCTTCGTCGTGCTTGTCGCTCGCTTCGCCTCGGGCTTTGACAATGGAATCCGCCAGGTCGAAACTGTCAGAGACCCAAACTCCCGAAAAAGGCACGTGCGAGTCAACGTGTGCAGACCATCGAGCAGACCTTCATCGGAAGCAAGATTCCTGCTCGTCACCAGACTTCTTGCTCATCGCGGCTTGCAAGCTGTGGAATCACAGGCGCGCGTAGGCAAAGACTTCAATACCAACTGCCTACGCAATGCGCTTAGGCATCATGATGGGGCCGGCATTGGGAGCTCCTTTACAAGCTGTCGATTTCAAGTTGCTGGGCCTTACAGTGGATGGCAACAACGGCCCTGGAGTGGTGCTGCTCTTCGCAGCCCGGAAGCAGGGAGTCGGCGCCCGCGAAGCGAAGCGATGCGATGCGAAGCATGCGGGAGGTCTGCGTGATGAACATGCTCATGTCCTGGCGATTCTTCAACCAGTCAGGCCCGGAGTTCTTGTTGCTTACGATGGATAGGTCTCTCGGTGCCCTGAGGCACCGTCAGTCAGCCGAGACTCGAAGCTTCAGAATCGCAAGATCGAAGACGACGGCCGCCGAACAAGCGCGGACTTCTGGTTGCTCGGTCGCTTTAGATGTCGAGATTCCCTGATGAGCGTATGCAGATTTCACGAGTGGAGTGGTAACAATGCAGGGCCAGTCGACGCGGGAGAAGCCTCAGCGCCGACTTTAGTAAGCGGGGGGTCTCCACGCTCGCCAGGAATGTTAGACGAGTCTGCGCCATACCCCTCGAGTCAAGAGCGCCTGAGTCCGGAAGAAACAGGATACAAGTCCGGAATACCCCCGAGTCAATTTAGGAACAGCCCGGAGCCGAGTCGAGAACAAACATCCCCTACGACATCAATGGTCCTTGTGTCCAATTCTGCTGGTTTTGGTAAAACATTATTGACAAATACTGTAAACAAAGTCGCAAGATTGACCATGCAGTTTGAACAGCAATAGTAATCAATTATGCTAATGGTCACAACATGAATGAGCGCAACACTAGCTGTTGGTGATGTGATCTATTGATGAGGGTGAACGGCACCTGGCTCGACTGTTTCATGCGATGTGCCAACAGGATCGGTCGCCGAGACACCGTTGTAGTGGAAACAGTGGCCGTGGTTGCATGCGCCCTATGTCAGATGCTCAACGCCCCAGCTCGATAGATCTTACAAGCAGCAAAAACCCCATAAACCCTACACCCGAAGCTCGAATTTCTCTGAGCATCCTGGTGGCTATCGCCATCAGCTTCTTTGTAAGCACTAGTATATACGCATCAGCAGCAGGATTGGTATTCCTTTGTAAGCCCGATGCATTTGCAGTCCAAGGTCCAATGCACCACACGGCCCGTCGTTGTCTCGTGCGCCCCGACGTTTATCGAACACTTGATGTTGCAGCGGCAGTGCTTAACATAAACAGGTTCAAAGCACACAGTAGGATGGGATCAAGCAACACCCCTTTTCAACCGGGGTGGGGTGTATGGCCTTCCATCATGCCCTGGTGCTGCCATACAAAACTGGTTAACTAGTACACGACCGAGATAGATAGCCAGGTAGCTCTACAGGAACCACTTTGCCGGAACATCAGTCGACGATCGTAAGTTGTAAACTCCGTATCCAAAGTTCTTAACTCTAAGCCCGTCTCCCTAGACAACACACGATAGGCTTATATAAATCTCTCAAGCCGTAACTTTTTGTAACATTATTCAGCCTTGCAGATCCTTAAAGATGCATTCAGCGGCTTCAAGCTCTTACCTCGTCTGTTCCCGAATCAACCTTTGTTCTGTTCTTCACTGTGCCGCCGCTGCTCCCGACTCTGCCTCCTGCTGTTGCTGCCTCGTGCTCCCTCTCCGTTCCTGACAGTCTCCTGCTTGTTCTCGACTCTTGCGGCTGACTCGCCTCCCATCCAGCTCGCCAGCGTTCGCAATTCGCAACAATGCAGGTTCGCAGACAAGCAAACTTTACGAGAGCGAGCCCACGGAGTTGCAGCATCGGTGTCGGGTTAGCAGTCGACGCCTTTGGTTGGGTGGGTCCGAAGACTTGCAGCAGAGGCCGCAGGAGAACGATGCGGGCCCAGCGCACTGCACCGAAAGCGACCGGGGTGTCACCGTGCCTTTTTTCAAGTAGTTGCAGTCAAAGATTGGGGGGAAAGAGAATGAATCGGACATGTCGAGCCCGTGTTGTTTGTTGGGGCCTCAGCCAGACTGCGAGGGCATTTGACGTGTTATGCCCAGCAGCCGTTCCGCTGGCGCCAAGCCCTCCTGGCACGAAAACTCGGAGGCACAAGAACGGGCGCCGCGAGCCGAGGTTTGCTACATGGTTTTCTTTGGGGTGAACCTGAATATGGCGAGTCTGGAGACGATCACTCCGGTGCTTGCACAGAGGCTCTATCTCTATCTCGTAGGTGACTGTCGTGCTTTTGGCGCACATCCCTTTTCTATGCGCACGTGCAGGCTTTACGGATGGGGGCCGTGCTTGAACCCTGCCGAATGCCCTTTTCAGGCCTGGGAATAACGAAATTACGAACACTGGAGTTGCCTTAGTAGGCCTGCGAAGCTCCACTGAGGCAACACAGGTTTATGTCAATCTGCTACTTAGCTGCGGCGGTTTGCTGAGTCTTGTCCGGGTCTCGGTACGCGGGACGGCACCGGAATGTCACTGCAATGAAAGCAGGTTTCAGAACTGAGCTTCCAGGCCATGGCTGCGCTTATGGCGTTCTACCTGGGTCCATATATCTACAGACGAGAAGTGCTGGCCATCACGCTGAGCCATGCCGTATCAGACGCTGTTTAGCAGATAGCAATACTGGTACCGGCAATCTCTCCCTATCCCTGGCATCCCTTGCGCCTGGCTGAGGTGTTGGTGAACCTTGGTAATATTGACTGGGGAGGCTCCTTGCCTCCTTACCGCTTTGTGCTGGACTATTTGCTGGGAGCTGGAAGCTCAGTCTAGTGGAGTCGATCCGATGCCTCGCTGACGCCGTCTAGAGCTGAAGTGCTGAAAAGGTCGTTGGGTCTACAAAGTGTGGCTGTGTCCGTTGCCAGGGCTTCGACATTACGCCTTGACCTAGGCCTTTTTTGGAGGCCTTGCACGTGGACCTGGAGTGGCACTGATGACACAGATCATTGGCCCTCATCCCAAAGCAGCTGCCTGGCCTTGCAGTGCTTCAAAGGGCCGGAGCTTCTTGAGTGAGGGTAGGACCTCAACTTCGGTCTTTCGGCCAAGAAGTCTGAGTCTGGAAATAGAAGTTTGACAAACTAGCCAACCTGCCAAGTAGCATTTGTGACATGTTGTCCCCGCCGGGAATCTGGTGTCTGCATGTTGCTGCGCCCCTAGCATGCGGCGTGACCACGGTCCCTTGTCAATGAAAGGGTTGAAGTTCTAGCAGATCCTTTCATGTTCTATCATCTTCTATGTTCTTCCTACTTTCGGGAGCATGTGCATAGTCAAAGTTGCAGCATAGTACCGTTTCAGCACAGCCAAGGCTTATATGGGTTTGCTCTTTGCGATCGGCGCAGTGCCTCGAATCGTCGGGCCGTTCCTTTTCGTAGCAACCTGACGCGCACTCATTAGATGTGATGTGCAGGTGCGGTGATTGTACGTTGTTCTTTGGCCCCAAACGATGGATGAAGGGACCAACGACTTCTCGATTCTCAGGAACTTTTACAACTTCCATCACCCTCACACGCAGCAGACTTTGCCTACGTCTACGAGGCATCAGAAGTCACTGTCCCAATCGTGTTGCTGGGGCGAGGAAGGCCTGCTCTTGTCCTTAGTTTGAATCCGAGCTCAGTATACCTCATGAAAGTTGTCCCAACAACCAGATCCAGCGGGGGCTCTCACTGCCTCTGTCTTTCAGTTGTGGGTGCAGGGCCATGGTGCACATCCAGAGTGCAGCAAGAATTCCAAAGCTACGAGACTCCAACTTCACCAGCATCACCACAAGCGTGAGTGATTCCTTCATTAAATGCGCGCTTCCTTTGCTCAACTTCTGCCGCTGGCGCTGTCGCAGGGTCCTGTTCCACGTACGTGGCTGCTGTATGGTGGCCAGATGGACCTTTGGCTGATCTGGCAGGCAGGATATGCTCCGACAGCAAACATCGTGAGCAGGCCGTGTTTTTGGTCATCTTCCTCAGTGTGCAGATCTTCAGGCAGGCCCTAGCATCGAATTGTGAGACGATGATGCGTCTGATCGCGAGCCAATGAATCCGAAATCTTTCTGTGAGGAAAGATTTGCAACCGCACCCGATGCATGGAGACATCACGGCACGAGATTTGTCCGAGCCACTGATCAAAGAAGACTGTTCTCCAGCAACTTGGCTGTTCAACACGTGGACGTTGACCTTTGCACGCAGAGACAGAAACATGCCTGCGGCTGCCCTTCAAAGGGGACTTGCACGGATTTTATTCCAAACACGCCCTCGCTGGCCAGTGCCTGAGCAGCCTTGGCATGTACCGGTGACGTCCCAACAAGTTCCTCGCGAGGTGAGAGAAGGCATTGCCAGTTTCGAGGACCTCACAAGGAACGCGAGTTCTCGCAGTATGCTTGGTCTGCGGCTTTACTTCACGCGCCATCATGCATCAGACTTCTCCAACAGTGGTCAGATTGGAAGATCTTGGCTCAGGCTGAGCAGGCCAAGCACAGCACTAATCTGAATTGGGTTGCCGAGTCGCTTTGTAGAGTGTTCTCCGGACCATCCGGACAGCGACTGAAAGAAGTCTGCTTTGGAAAGCCTTGCTTCTGCAGCTCCGATGTGGGCAGCGGGGTCTGTACAGACAGGCACCAAAGTGTCGGCCCTGGTTGTGCCATCGCAGCCTGTGTAAGTAGTCTGACCGAAAGTCGATGCTTGCATTCCTGCGGCACTTTCCACCGTCGTGCCGGACAAGACAGCTGCCTAGCGGATTCGACCCGAAAAAGGCCACTAGCCAACCTCGTCTCAAGCAATGTGCTCCCATCCCATAGTTTCTCTCTTCCACCTCGACTGTTTGAAGTTTGTGGTTTGCAAGTTGTGCGCTCTTCGGAGACAGAAACTTCCGGCCCGCTCAATCTGCTCGTGCTACCGCTGGTTTATCAGCGCAAACGTAGTGTTCTGAACTTGCATGGCATGCATGAAATGTTCAACAGTCTTCGGCCGTTTGCTGCCTGCTTGGGAAAGGCCCTGTTTGCTCAACATGATGCACAGAAAAATCAAGAGCAAGTTCTATCATCGGCGACATCTTGCATACTCGTGCTGAGTTGCTTGGCGGCTAGGGGCCTAAACCCATTATTACTACTACTACTCTATTACCACTACCACTACCACTACCACTACTACTACTACTACTACTACCACCACTACTACTACGACTATGACGACGACGATGACGACGACGACGACGACTACTACTACTACTATTGCTACTACATATCCCGAAAAGCCCGAGTGCTTCATGCGGAGCCCCGATGGGAGGTGATCGCCAACATCCGCATTTGTCACACCGAGGCAAAAAGCACCGAGGTCACACACGAAGCATCCGTTGGTCGGCAACGTACAATGGGCGTCCCGGCGTCACAGACTTCTCTCCCTTCCCCGCATGGAGCGCTGCGGCGCTGCGGTACAGTTGCAGCACCCTTGGACTGAGAAGTCCGGAAGGCGAAGATGGGCGCAAAAAAAGGAAAGACCACACCAAATTGGCCAGAGTGACCACGCATAGGCAAACTGCATAATCGTGGGAGCGGCGAAGCGTAGAGCAATCGTGTGGCTTTTCTGAAGGCTTGTAGCCGGTTCACAGCAATAGTAACTTGCGATTTCCGTTTTCTGCCAAGGCCGTCGTTTTGGCATTTCCAGCGGGATCAAAACGTTGCTTTCCCCACTACAACGATGCCGCGAGGGAAGGCTTTTCCCGCCTCCGAGGCTCACGCTCAATGCGCGACTGAAGAGCCATGCGCAAAAGAGCTCGCAGAGACCAACTGCACTTGATGCAACTAATGTAATTACCTCTATCCTGTCCGTGTCCGCAGCAGAGCAGACTTTATTTACCCTAAACAGACCGCACTGGTACTGCAATCTTTGACGGCCTTTTGCTGCAGCCTTTTGCTCGCGACAGGCCGACAGGCTGCTCTAGATCGAGAGAATCAAGTAGCGCTTGCGCGAGCGGAACCATTGCCATGACAGCCGAAGGAGTCGGCTTGCTTGATGTGGAAGCAGTGGCATCAGCATCCCTGGAGTCGGAATCAGAGTCACTCAGCACGAAGTCAAAGTCTCACTCTCCCTCTCTCTATAATAGCGCTGAAAACTTATGTTTAGTCCCTACTCACCCCAGGAAGAAGGTTGAGTTGGGAATGCGGTTCTTCGGATGGTATTTATCTCGTCCTTGCAGTGATTCGTCTTGCTGGTGGTTTCGGGATGCTGGCGAGTGTATCCGTAGCATCCCATAATCAAAAAAGTTGGGTTGGGAGCATGGAGGGGCGGTCGGGGAGTGGATCCCAACATCATTGTCGTGGGGGGCTCTCACAAACAGGGACCTGTAGGGAGCTTGGAGATTTAAGATGATAATGAGTATAAGACTGGTCACCCTTGCTTGAACCCAGCACCAGGCCCTTCGAAACTCTCCGTCCCGTTTTGAAAGTCCCAAACACTAGCAACACAATGGTTTGGCAGAGTTATATCGAGAAACATTCCAGAAAAACTCATCCAAAAGAAAAACGTTACATGGAAATTTTTGGAGAAATCGTATGTGAGACGACCTACCGGACCTAAGTGAGCGCGAACATCTACATAAAGTGGTTCAAGTGGTAGCTTCTTCGAACAACCTCATACACCCCTCCTGGGGTTGAGGGTTTGGAGACTAGCGGTGTATGAGCAGCAACAGGATTGTGGGACCATCGTGAGGGATTCCGTAGAAAAGTGCAGTGTTCAGCAAGATGGTCCCCGGCCTTAGGAGGTCCCAACTTGGGGCCTCCAGTTCTTTGTTCCCTTGTAATTTGCCGATAGATTCGCGTTGGATCCCCAAAGGTACCCCTTGTTCATAAAGTCCTGCATGGTCGGAGTCGTGAGGATAGTAATGCGCTGAGACCGACAGCCCAGGTGTGTTAGAGGATGTGATATATAAGGGACATTGAGATATTCAACTGCAGGTCTCCAAATTGGAGTCCATTTCTGGATCATCCTGGTACACCTTCTGTGGTCCACTTGTGGTGCTTCTGTTGTCAGAAAACGTTTCTCCACATTCTCAGCACATACAATCCTCATAAACCTCCTAAGATGGTCCAAATCTGCACGGCTCCATGCTGACTGTATGAGTCTATTTTGGTGATCCACTGGCTGTTGCGCTTTGGACGCCGAAGCCGTCACAGCCATTCCAGAGGATCGATTCCCTTTCACGTCCCAAAAAGTCCTACCAGTGCAAAGCTGCTTCTTGTCCGTTCACGGACAAGCAGCTGGAAACTACGGATCTTATCGCAATGGTGTCCATGTGCGGCGGCTTTTCCCTACAGGTTTTAATTGTAAAGCCAAGCAGGAAATCTGTTGTCGTAGCTTGCCTTGCTTGTCAAAACAACTCACTGATGAAAGAACCCCGGCACAGCCCCAAGGAATTTATCTCTAATCATACTTGACCTGATAGAGCGGGTAGGTGCAATGTTTTCCTCCGTGGCCCTGAAACCAACCTAACATTTAAGCACGAAAATCACTGGTGCGGAATAGGTCCCCGCACGTTCCACCGGCATCCGGGAAGCGTTCCTGGACTTGGATTGCCCTGGGAGCACTGGCATTGGGTGCCTTGGATGTGTGGCGGACTTCAGGTTTTAGGGTTTTGGGGGAGGTGGAGTTCTGTACGGCTGTGCAGTGTTGTAAGTTGCGGTTGTCTACACCTCTAATTCCCTTATGGTGCCGTGCCGCAGGAGTCCCCCCCCCAACCGCCAACCCCCTCCCACATGCAATGCCTCCCCCAACCGCCCCGGCTAGGCTCTGGAGTGAGCCTTTTGGGTCTCGACTTGCCATGTCGCCTCAAAACTGCCGGAACGAGGTGCTGGATTAGGCCCAGCGCTTCCTGAAAATTGAGTTGGATGCGCTGCGAGTCAGGAGTGTGGAATCTCCAAGGGCCGGATGATCTCTTCCGATTTCTCCTCGTCAGAAATGCGGAAATTGAAGTAGTAGCATCAGCAAGTGACAACACGTGAGCAAGGAACGTACCATGTAGAGTCAGCAAATCTCGTCCGTATGATTCTTGTTGGAGATGTCACGAATTTCGCCATGTCTGTGCCAAACCGTAGATGCGTTCAGACTAAACTCTTACACGCCCAGCCCTTAAGCCCCAAACACTGACCGGACCTAGGCACCGTGGCCGTCGTTGCATTGTCTTTCCACTTCTACACCTTCGAAGCCTCTGGGGACATCAGCGAGGTGGAAATGCCGTGGCCCTACGTCATGGATATGGATAAGGACGGAATTGGAAACACGGGCTCCGGTCTCGATCAAGCCCATGATAACCCGTGATAGACGCACAGAAGAAGAAAGCAGCTGAGTAGCTCATTCTTAAGCTTCGTCTCTTGAACCATAGCTGAGACTCCCAAGCGTAACTCCACTGCGGAGCTCCGGTTGGTGGATCCATGCATGCTCCCGCCACAGTGCCCTGCAAATGCGCTCCCAAAGTCTATTTGGGTTCCGAGCGACTCCGGTTCCCGCCAGATGCGGATTTTGGACTCACGGGATGGTCTTGGGGCTTTCACTTTTTTGGGGTTGTCTATGTTGGCTGGGCGGGGGCCCGTTTGCTGGAACAACAAGTGCTGCCGTAAGACAAACCGGGTTGAATCACCTGTATAAGTCACTATATCTACATTACCTCAAACTTTAGACTGCAGCTCCCACATCCGGCTCCAAAGAAGGCAATACATATGCAATGTTTTTATAGCATAAGGGCCTGTAAAACCCCATGGGGTGCAAAGGGGTTGGAAGGCAATTTCTGGGGTCTCTATCTATGGCAATGATATCCTTTCCCTGTATCCCCTTCCTTACGGGCAGAAGTTTCCTGCATGTCTTCCACGATACAGGAGCCCGTGCAGGCTTCTGGCTACGAGAAATATTCCAGCTTCATTTGCGCACAGCAAGACCTGGCTTCCGACAGCGTCTGCTTGAAGGCACTGAACAGAAAATAGGCAGCTGAGAATTAAGCGGGTCAGGGCTCAGAACCCAAAAACTTGAATACATCATCGCATCCAATGGTGTGAAACTCCTAGATGAGAGCTGGCAAAGGGTTTGGGTCACACCAGGTGGCTTTGCTGTCGAGTTGAAGCTATCTTTGCGAAAGATATCTGAGACATCCGGCATAGTCTGGGCCCGGACTGGGCAGTATGAGCTGCAGCTCATACAACTCATCTCATGTCTATGCCGAAGCATCGGTGGTTTTTGATAAGACCACGTGCCCTGCAACTGTACTCCATAGCTTTCCTAGCTGCCCATGGCTTCTTGGGATTTACTGTCAGTTCTTTCCTTGATTCATCCCCTCACTGCTTCTCCAAAGGTCTCCAATTGCTCTGTTATGAACAAGCCCAACAAATCCTAGTCGTCCTAACCCGCAGGCCTTGACATTCGTGACGCTCAAATGCAAAGCTGCTGGACAGTCTGAGTGCATCCACTTTTTGCCCAAGCTTCGGATGCTGGTCTTCCAGGCTTGGGACAGCTAGCGTAAGCCATTCCGCCTTTCAAGTTCATGGGGCTGCGTCTGAGTCTATGCTGGCAGTCGGATGTGGCAAAATGCTCCCGGGGTTGCTGGAGCAAGTTTGTGCATTTTGCCTATCGTCAGCTTGGTAGGCCAAGGCTACTTCAGCTTGCATTCAATCGCAGTGTCGGGGGATGCTCATCCAAAACGAAACAGCGACCGGAAGCAAACAGTATGCAGGGATCACGAAGAAGCAATCAAATCGCTACTCACGAAGCCTTCCAGATGTGAGGTCAAAACCAGAAATCCTAGACTCCGAGCCGTAAAGCTACGAAGGCCGACAACAAGAGCTCGGTCATGGACCACCTGCCGAAGCTTGCCGAGTGTTGCACTCAACTGGCTGTGGATGTGAAGGCGAAGGCTTTCCGGCAGGACGCTGCTGGTGTGCTGAAGGGCAAACCCGATGCCCTGAAGAGCGCGCCCAAAGCCGCCGTGAGCGAAGATGTCCCCGTGATCAGCGCACTCCCCACGGTCAAGGATGCTCTCCAAGACCAGTACGATGCCCTGAAAGGCAAATACGACGTGCTGAAAGGAAAGTACGAGGCCCTCAAGGACGGGCATCAGGCCCCCACGGCTTCTGACTCCAGGGAGTCCCGCAAGGAACATCAACACGGAGACCGTGCTGAAGCTAGGCTGCTTTCAGCCAGAAATCCTACTACACTGGAAGCCCACGCAACAAGCAATGTAAGATGGCTCAGGGTTTAGAGTCCGCGCCTTAGCGACGGAGAGGGTCTGCTGCATGCGGCGACCTTCCTGCCCACTTGTTGCTTTGCACCCTCCTCCGAACAAAATCTTCCTGCTCCAACGAAGATGTACTGCCTGGTAGGAAAAGGACTGCAACAACATGAGCATCTTACTTAGGGTCAGGAACTCACTTTACGAATGGCGGACAGCTCAGGAAGTGACATGTGCAAGCCGAATGCCCGACTATAACTTGGACAGGGTCACAAGGCCACCGCAGCAGGGAAGGCACTTCAAGTACAACCCCAGCAATCGTGGAGAGGCCAAGGAACGGAATAGCAACAGCTTTTGTTGATTACGGAGGGTACAGGGTTTACCAGTTCTTTAACTGCTTTTCAAAGCTCAAGACCTTGGTAGTTATGGTTGCAGCGAAGATTTAACCTTGGGTCAGCTGTGGCTAAGCTGCTTAGTCTTTTGAACCGTTGAATGCTAAGGCTGCCACGGTCTTTGTCATTGATTCCGGCATCAATGAGGGCCACGAAGAGTTCCGGCGCAACGATAAGGGCATTGTCAAGGTGGGTCTTTCTCCGATAGTGTGCCTGTCCCCTGCTTGTTATCGGATGGGGTGAGCGGGGGTGGGGAGGACTTCTGTGTGAAGAAGTGGTTTTTTTGCGCACTCGCCTTTCTCCTGCAAACGACGATCCTGAACTTCCGAAAATGAACCAACATTTCAAGAAATCCTGGGCCCCATAGCCGAAACTATGCCTCTTGATTGTTTTGCAAAAAGGAGGCCCAAAAGACCGGTGATTCTAAGCATGCGCTTTGGCACCCTCCATTGCCAGTGTTTTCACGCAGGGAGGCAGTCAGCAGCAACCAGGGGCCTGAATGTCGCGGTTTCCCAAGATTCGGGATCCTTATTCTTGTTGGTTGCTTGTGATGTTCTGTATACTTCAGATGGATCGTCCCACAAACAGCAGACCGAGGGTATGGGTAGGTGGCAATATGTTCCTGTGTGTTTTTTCTGCATTTTCCTATGGCATGAACAAGCAAGCAAGCCAGCCAGCCAGCCAGCCAGTCAACCACCACCCACCACCACCGCCACGACTGCCTGCTGCTACTACGACGACGACGACTACTACTACTACTATTATTATACTACTACTACTACTACTCCTCCTCCTCCTCCTCCTACTCCGACTCCGACT